AATATGTAAATATTTCAGCCATGTAAATATTAAGATGGCATAAGTCCAACATGTGAACCTGTGTTCCAGTTCCTTTGTCAACCCATGCCACAGAAGGAGTTTCTGTTTTCTTATCAATATTATGGAATATATTAAAGTCTTATGGAAACCTCCTATTGATTGTTTGAAATCTAGGGCAGTTAGGATATAAAATTAATGGCATCCACTGCAAAATACTTGACTCCAAAATCTATTGTTTTTCCACCACCACCCTTGCTTTATTGAGATATAGTTGACAAATAAAATTTATCTATACTTAAGATATACTACTCAATGTTTGACATGTATATACAGTGTAAAGTCATCATCACATGTCCATCACCTTACGTAGTTAACATTGTTATACTTTGGTAATGAGAAATGTAGATCTGCCTTCCCAAACTTCTTCCTAAAAGAATTATAGATAGCATCTTGCAGTGATACATACATGCCAATGTTTATAGCAGCACAACTCATAATAGCTAAATTTTAGAGGTAGCTTATACACATCAATAGATAAAGAAAATGTGGGATATATACACAGTGCAGTAGTACTCACCCATAACAAAGAATGATTTTGAGTCATTTGTAGGAAAATGGATGGATCTTGAGGTCATAATACTAAGTGAAATGAATGACACATAGACAGTTAAATATTTCTATTTTGATCTTATAGGAGAAACTCAATATATACATAATTTAAGGAGCAAAATAAAAGATGGCAGGAGACTGGGAGGTAGAGTTTGTGGAGATGGAAGGTGGGGGATGGAGTAAAATGATCTGGGTTTGTTATATATAGGCAGCAATTCCCCATGATGAGTGCAATTGTGTATTGAAAACATATACTACTAATGCAAATGATAAAAAATAAAAATTCCTAGCAATAAATCTGACTATGCAACATGAGCATTGACTTTGAAATTCATAGCTTGAATTCAAGACTTAGGGTAAAGATATGATAATAAAGATAGTGTGCTTTTGTTATAAGGATGAAATTACACATCTATGGAACATAATAGAGAATTTTGAAATGCATCAGAACATGTAGGATTGACTTTCACAAAAATTTGTCAGAGTAACCATGGGAATAGGGATAAAAGGTGTTGGTATGAGTTAATATTCATATAGATAACAATGAACTTCAGCTTTTAAATCACACCATACAAAAGTTAATTTGAAATGAATCATAGTCTTAATGATAAAAATGAAAAAAATGTATAAGAGAACTGGAGTTTCCCTTACAGACTTAGTCTTAACAAAGATCTTATAGTGTCAGATAAGATTTTCAATACAAACAAACAAACACAAATGTTTAGAATAAAACATAGGAGAATGTTTTGTGGTTTGAAGCTTATAACTTTTTTCTTGGGAGTAAAAAATATCTTTTGTCAAAAAATATATGTAAACATCTATGTTTAAAAGTTAGTGATGATAAGAACTTCAAAATGGGCATAAAGATAAGCAATAAACTAGCTAATATTTGCAAGAGGATTATTAGTTAGAATCCATAACAAACTCTTGCAAATAAACAAAAGACTAAGGGGAAATGGGCAGAGGAAATTGAGTCAGGATTTCAGAGAAAGGCAGGTGGTGGTTGTCATTGTTTCCATATGAAGTGTCCCCTCAAGTCTCACGTGTTGAAGGGTGGCCCAAGTGTACCAGTGTTCAGAAATGGGGCTTCTGAAAGATGATGGGATCACAACGACACTAATCTCATTAATGGCTTAACGCACTGCTGAGCTCATGGTTGAAGGGGCTGTCAGGAGGTGGCATGCAGATGGAGTGAGAGGTCACTGAGGGAACATCTTTGAAGGGTGTATCCTGTCTCCAGCTGCCACCACCACTTTATCCTGGATGCCATGAGGTGAGCAGCTTGCCTCTGTCAGATCCTTCTGCTCTGAGGTTTCTGCCTTATCACAGACTTAAAAGCAGTGGAGGCACTGCACCATGGACTGAGCCCTCTGAGACCATGAACTAAAAAAATCATTCTTTTAAGTTGTTTCTCTCAGATATTTTGTCACAGTGAAAAAACCTTCTAGCACAGTGGTGAATAAACGCATGTAGTGATAATCACTGACTAGTAATTAGACAAATGTAAATTAAACCTGCAGTGACACATTATATATATATATATATACATATATATATATAAAGTTTACGCTATATATTACTATGTATCAATTTCTATTAGTACCTGTTTGCAGTTCATGTTTACATCCTTGTGTGGCATTGGTCCAGGTACATAACACATCTTCATTCTTTTTCACCTCCTTTCCCTCTCCTGTCTTCTGTCTCCCTCCATCCCTTGATTCCCTTCCTATTTGAGAAAGATCTATTTTCTTACTTCCAATTGTCTTTTATTTTGCTCTTTATTTATAATTTGGGTTCCTCATATAAGAGAAACCATATGATATTTAAGCTTGTGTGTCTGATTTATTCCACTTAAACGTATGGTCTCAAGGTGCATCCATTTTCCTACAAGTGACCCAAGTTTATCTTTCTTTATGGTAGAGTAGTGCTCCACTGTGTGTAAATACCGCATTTTCTTTATTCATTCATCTGTTGATGGAAATTTAGACTACTTCCAAATTTTAGGTATCATGAATTGTACTACTACAATCATGGATATGCATGGATCACTGTAATATGATGTATTTAACTCTTTCAGGAAGACACCTAGTAGGGGAATAGCTGAGTAGATTTCTGGTTTTAGTTTTTTGAGAAATCTCATACTGATTTCCACAGTGGTTCTACCAGTTCGCATTCTCACCAACAGCGTAGAAAGGCTCCTTTTCCCCAACAGCATCCATTTAATTTAAAAAAAAGTAGAAATTCTGAGACTACCATGTGGTGTACAATGAATCCATTCTGTGACTCATGTGTTCACCTCTTAAACCAGAGTCTCATAGAAGCTTTTCATTACTGCTGAAGTGTGGAAACTTTCCAAACATCTATGAACAGACATCAACTGTGAAGTAGCAGTGGCATTACTGTCTGAACTTAGAGAAGGGACTCCAGGATAGAGCCATAGGTACCTAGAGGGCAAGTGGGTCCAGGGAGAGAGAATGGTTATGTAAGTTGGTGTATGGTAGGAAATAGTACATGAAGAATATCTGAGAAGGTAAATGTCTTCAGTTGCTTCAAAATGGATTCTTAAATCTAAGGTGGAAATTTCATCTAAGTTTTGAGAATGTGGGTTTCTTCAAGTTGATGAAAAATTGATGTTCTTTAGTCATTTCTTACTAAGAATTTAATTAATCATTGAAACAATCCTATGCAGATTAATTCCATTTTTAAGATGAGAAAAATGTGGCTGAATATGGTGAAGTACTTTATTTCAAGGTTAAAAACCTATTGATTCAGTGTGTGTTAGACTTAGTGTGCATGCTTACTCACTTTCCTAATGAAAGGTCTTGGTTCATGGGTAGGTGAATCTGTTACAGGTGGGGGTCTTCACTTGCTCCATACATTTGAACTCTTCTGCTGGGTAATTTCCAGCTAATTGAGACTTACAGGGAAAATCATAATACCCTTGGAGATACTTTGGGAAAAGTGCATTTAGTTTTAAACGTGTACACTACAAATGCACCTGAGGGGCTCTCCCACAGGTAGCTTGTGCACTCTTACCAGATGACATGGTCCAGGTGAGTTCAAAGCCTGGCCACTCCAAGGCATGACCACTTCTCTCCTGTCGGCCTTGGGTAATAACTTTTGGCTTCAATTTCAACATCACCTCCTTAAGAAAATCCTCCCATACAGTCCCTTGAATCCTCACTGCACACACACAGCACAGGGTCTTCTTTTTTTTAAAATAGAGCTCACCACTGTCTTGTTTTAATAGTTGAATTTTTGTATTATGAGGAATATAGTCTGTGCTTTGGTGGCAGGTCTACTTTTGGAATTTAAATATTTGTTCTGCCTTCTACTCAATTTCACCATTGGGTAAACTAATTAAACTTACGATGTCTCAGTTTGTGACATGGGATAAATAATTACTATCACCCAGGACAGTGCATGTAATGTGTTCACCATGGAACTTGGCTTGTGGTACTGAGTAGTTGTTACTACTGAACAACTCAATGCCTGCTGCATTTTATGTATTCAAAGAAACCTTATTAAAGAAAGAGATAAATCATTCAACTTCTGACTGTAGTCGAATACTTATCTCAGTCTTGTGGATGAGTTCTAACTCTTACTTACTCCTTTTTAGGTCCTTTCTTTTCTTCATTTTTTATTTTTTATCCTTACCTGTTTGCAGGACATAATGATCACTCTCATTCCTCACAGGGAGTTGGTCCACACACATGACATATTTGGTTCCTTTTTCATCCACTGTCCCTCCTTTCTCCCCTCCCTCCATCTCTTTCTTGGTCTCCTTCCCTTTGCAAAAGTCTACCTCCCTACTTCCTCTTACCCATTTTTTATTTTTCTCTTTGTTTATATTGTGGGTTCCTTGTATAAAGTTCTAACTCTCATAGGGAGGGTTATTCACCAGCAGAGACAATGGGAGGGCAGGAGAAGTATTTGATTGACATTTTGGCAAAGGTTACTGAGATTAACTGCTCCTTCTTGGAGTACAGACAGCAGAGGGCAGTGCCATGTTTGCATAAAACCCAGGCATTTACCTGTGAGAACCAAAGGAACTGAGAAGGCGGGGCTGTAAGCGATTCTGTGCAGAGTGAATCTCAAAGGCATTTCCTGTCCCAGACATGCTCTGGAGCTAGACCTGGGGTTCTAGGTTAGTTTTAGGAGAAGGGAGCCTGAGTTCCAGGGGCCAAATCATGTGGCTACATACTGGGCACTGATGAGAAAAACCCAGAAAAAAACCCAACCAAAGACACAAAGAGTAAACCATGCAAGAATTGGTTTCAGAAAATATCTCATCCAGGGAAGATTTATCAAGTGCTATTTGGTAGCTAAATTTGCTTTACAAATGGCCACTCAGTTTGAGAGCCTGTATCTGCACTATTAATCCAATTCCTATGGAAAAAGTCATGAAAACTGAGTCTCCTAGGAAAGGAAATGGGTTCTTGCTGCTGAAGTCATTCCCTTTCTGGAAATCCAAATTCCATTTAAAGAGGAAGCTAATGCATCCCCTCTGGGGCAGTTTATTGTCTGAGTAAGTGCAGGCCAGAGTGAGAGTTCCTGAACAAGCAGGACAGGGTAAGCATGGGTAAGCACGGGTAAGAGAAGCAAAATTTTCTTCCTCTTCTGTTACTTCAGGGTTTTGTTTTCTGAAAACATTCATCTTTCTCTCCTTTTCTGTCTTTCTCTGTCTCTCCATCTCTCTGTTTCTGCTGTCTCTGTCTCTCTCTCTTTTCTTTGTTACACTAAACTGATATGACTATTTCTTCAGTTGCACATAGCTTGTACTACAGCAAATTCTGAAAGTCTATTTTGAGTATTGTTGCATCTGCAAGGAACCATCTGATGTTGTAACTCTCAGTGTTGAGTTGTGCAGAAACGAACACTGTCTCTTTAGTAGTTTGCATGGCAGGACAATCCATGGCACTCATTTGCCAGTATTTTTCTCTGAACCTCATACTAAGCACCACAGTCAGGAAGTGCTTTTTGTAAAAACTTGGCAACATTTAGTTGAAGTATTATAACATACTCTTAAGAGCTTCCTCACATTATACTATGCTCATTTTTCTCCCCCTTTTCTTATTTATTCTTTCTTTTCTTTGTTTCACGGCTTGCTTCTCCTTTTTCCTCTCCTGTTCTATCTTCCTTCCTCCTTTCTCTCCACCCCATCTTCCTCTTGGCTGTTTTCTCCCTCTCTCTCAGTGTCCACTTTCTGTGCTTTCTTTAAATGTTGTTTGGTTAATAACTTCTAGTCCTGCCCAGAGAGATGGGCTCCACTAACTATTTATTTGAGTAGTGAAATGAGTTTCAGAGTCAAATTTGGAAGGCAAATATTTTTCTATGTTTATACTTTAAGCAAATGACCTAATGAAATGAAAGGACAATTACTCCCGCAAAACCAGAAAGTAAAATAAGCAATCATAAATCTTGTGTTAAGAATGCATTTTCCCTCCCCGCTTCCCTTTCTTTTCATTTCATTTCATTTCTTTTCTTCTTTCTCTCTCCCTTTTTAATCAGATGATCTTTATTTCTGACATTTGTGCTTATCTCTTCTTTTCTTACTTGATCAGCCTGAGTGTTCAGTTTTTTGTGCTTTCAAGGTATTTAGAGAAAATTATTAAAGTTTTCTCTATTGACACTTGCATCTTGTAACAGTTGTGGAAAGTTGGAAATGACTTTTATCTTCACAACAATCCCACAGGTACGTTTATCCTTCTATTAACAACTAAACAAAGCACAGAGACATACAATGAATTAACTTATGTAGTTAGCAACGGTTAGACTCAGGACTCCAAAGTGTCCTTCAATTTTAAACCGATTTCTGTTTCTTTGCAATTTAGTGCATTCTAAACTTTGTTTTCCCCTTTATTCTCTCCCATCTTCTCTTTTTTTCTTCTCCCACTCTCAGTAAGTACTTTATGTGTATCTACATTTTGGTTAGCACTAGGGCTACAAAAATAAATAGGGCTATAATTGCAACAAGGCACAGCTTTTGCCTTCAAAGGTCCATAGAGTTGAACACAGATATGAGTCTGAGACCTCACAGCGAGTGCTATCATGGACGTTTATCACAACACAGAAACTGGATGGCACACTACCAATTAGAGTGCTGAGGAAGCTGAGGAACTACCAGACAGGTAGAGGAGGAAGAAGAATGGCTCATGAAGGAATCTCTGTATGTCCCTGAGTGTTTCTGTGTGACTTCCAATTAGTAGAACAATTTGGATTTTTCTCTGGTATGCCCACCCACTCTCAAGTAAAATACATGCATCTTTGTATGTGTGTGTGTGTGTGCATGTTTGTGTGTGTATGCATATTTGGGCAGATCATAGATTGGCTCAAAAACCTTGGTAATGGTATTTTCTTTTTCTGAATTACACAATTACACATTTTCTTCTTTTTTGCTTTAGGAAATTGAAAACAAACCAAGATGTTATAAAGGACAAAATAAGAACTCTGAAATTGACAACTGTAGAATATAAAAAAAGTTAAGTCAGGAGTCATGGTGTACACCTATAATCCCAGCACTTGGAAGTCTGAGGCAGAAGGATCACAAGTTTGAGGTCAAGCTGGGTTACCCAGTCAGCTGGAGGCCAGTGAGACTCTGTCTCAAAAAATCTTTTTTTAACATGATTTTCTGCTTGTTTTGTCTTGTTATTAAAATAGCAGAAACATAGCTTCCAAAGATATATTTATTCATTAAATAGAACTCCTGTTGAGAATGGATGTGGTATTTTCTTAGGATAATCATTTCTCCCATAAACTAAATTGACAGTGAGATGAATAACGTGACTGAATTCATCCTGTTGGGTTTGACCCAAAATATGGAGCTTCAGAAAATTTCATTTGCTGTGTTTTTGATTGTGTACCTAGTCACGTTGGTGGGTAACTGGCTCATCGTGATTACCATTGGCACCAGCAGAGCCCTAGGGTCCCCCATGTACTTCTTCCTGTCCTATTTGTCCCTCATAGATATTTGCTGCTCTTCATCCATGACTCCTAAGATGCTGGCTGGCTCTCTGTCTCTGAGAAAATCCATCTCTTTCAGCGGGTGCATGACTCAGGTCTTTGCTGAGCATTTTTTTGGTGCTGCTGAGATAATCCTTCTCACAGTGATGGCCTATGACCGCTATGTGGCCATTTGTAGACCCCTGCACTATGCCATCATCATGAACCGACAGGTGTGCAGCCTCCTTGTGGGAGTGGCTTGGGCTGGAGGCTTTGTCCATGCAACCATTCAAATCCTCTTCACAGTCTGGCTGCCCTTCTGTGGCCCCAATGTCATAGACCACTTTATGTGCGACTTGAACCCTTTGTTGAAACTTGTCTGCATGGACACCCACATTCTTGGTCTCTTTGTTGCTGCCAACAGTGGCTTCATCTGCCTGTTGAACTTCCTCCTCTTGGTGATGTCCTATGTGGTCATCCTGTACACTCTGAAGTCTCACAGCATGGAGGGGAGGTGCAAAGCCCTCTCCACCTGTGTTTCTCACATCACCGTGGTCATCTTATTCTTTGTGCCCTGTATATTTGTGTACCTGCGCCCGGTGGTCACTTTCTCCATTGATAAAGCTGTGGCTGTGTTTTATACCATGATAACTCCTATGTTAAACCCTCTCATCTACACTCTCAGAAATGCAGAGGTGAAAAATGCTATGAAGAAACTCTGGGTGGAAATTTGACTTCAATGGGGAAACAATCACAAAAAAATTACTACCTGTGAATATTGAAGAGAAAAGCATATAATACCTACAATTCCAGGCCAAGTAAAAAGTATATTTCAAAGTATATTGTTGAAGGTATACAGGCCTTTAAAGAAAGGATTCAGCACTCAGTTGTTTAACATTATAAAAAAAATCATTCAGATTCATTCATTGAGTATATGGTTATCAAATTTTGGTGTATTGCTAGAATCAACGTGCATTCTCAAGACGTAGCTCTAGAAAATTAATGTGGCAGCTCATATATGTTCTCTGGACATATATGCATTTAAGTAAATTACCCAAAGTGTTTCTTAGGAAGTGATTTCTTTTTTTTTTTTTTAAGAGAACAGTAAAAAAAAGGAAATGATTTCTGCTTAAATTTGGAGCAATAGTTGTATATATTACACTTGTGTCCTCAGTCTATTAATAAATCACCCTACTGGTACATTTCCTGGGAAGAGCTGTCACAGCAGAAATCACGAGAATTATGAAAGCTCAGTTTTTCATAAATCATGCAATGTACAAACACTATGCTTGTAATGATGCAATAAAAGTAAAACATTCTGAGAAGACAGAAATGCACCTTATGTCCCTGTTCCTTCTGTGAGGGGTAATACTCCAAGCCAATTGCTGCTAAAGGAATATTTGGGGCCAGAGTGACTTTCAGTCTGCGTGGTCTTTTCCATTCTGTCTGTTGTTTGACATTCCTTGGCCTTCTGCATCCATCCCTGGGGCTGATACATGTATGGGTATGGTTTTTTCTTGACCAAATTGCTTAAGGCTTCAAAGGTCACTTTACTATGAATCTAGGTCAATATAGCAGGCATCCAGCATATGAACAGACATGAAATACAGTGAGCCATTAGTTCAGAGAAGTTAGCACAGAGATACACTCAAACTCTGGATTCAGATTTTTTTGGTTTATCGTGCCTTGGGGTGAAAGGTATTAACCTCTCTATTCTCTGACTTTTTTTGTCTGCCATAATGGGAGTAATTGTATCTCTTTCATAAATTTGGGGGTCATTTAAATGAGTTAAATGCATACTAAAAGTGTCAGGCACATAGTAAACACTATGAATGTGTTTTAAAGACAAATCCTCATTTGGTGCTGCCTAAACTTTTGTCCTATATTTCTTCCAGAACTAGCAAGATGCTCATTATTTCTGTATAAAGACTTCTGTGCATCTTTCCATGGTTGCTATATTGTTAGGGGAAAACATCTTTTTTAATGGCCAGTACTATGTTACATAACTCTTTCCTTGAAATTTAGCAAAGGACATTATTGACTGTTAGAATCATTCTTTGGCCCCTGAAAATCCCATTAGAGGTTCAGATGATGTGGAAAGATTCAGGAAATGAAGTCAACAGATCTAGCATTCTATTGTATTTCACTAGTTTAGGTAACATTGTATGAATTTCACAATATCTCAGGACCTAAGTTCCTATGTACAATGAAAATGTAGTGTACATTTCATAAGGCTATTTAAATGAGGTGGATAAGACATTGTATACACAATATACAGGATTATGTTTGTCACCCAGTGGCTGTATAATAAAAGTTGCAGTCTTTATATCTGTCTCTCTTCATCAGTGTCTCATTTCCGTTGGATGCTTTAAAAGAACCATGATTTATGTTTACAATTCAACTACATGTAGATACTATCTTAGGAGGTGATGAAGAAATTTCTGAAATCTGAAATCCTCCCAAATTAATGTAGGATGGATATGCTTAATTCTGAACAATTAACCATCAAATCTGAATGTCTCCCAGATGAAATCAGGTTAAGGACAACCTCAATATGTAACAGAGCTCAAATGTTTCAGATTCCACATCTGAGTGAGATCATGTGATACTTGCCTTTCTGTGATCTCCAGGTCCACTGATATTATTGGAAGGGACAGGATTTCATTCTTCTTTGTGCCTGAGTAGTACTCCATTGTGTGCATATACAATAGTTTTTTTAATCCATTCTTCCACGGATGGGCACCTAGGCTGTTTCCATATCTTACCTTTTGTGAATTTCTGTTCCAGTGAGCATGAGTGTCTTCAGAATACGCTAACTTTAGTTCCTTTGGGTATGTGACCGTTAGTCCTGTTATGTCAACTTCTTCGCATTAAGAAATGCCTAGCCAGTTAGTAGAGCATGCTCTTGCATGTGTTTGAGTAAGTTCTAAACATGTGTGTTTGGGTCTATCTACTGCACCTGGCCCATTTCTCTCTCGTGCTGTTCTCCCCTGCTGTGCTCCCTGGCACTATGAATTCAGCCATTTGGTTCCCCCAAACCCTTCTGGCATGATGTTTCTTTCTTGGAGCCAGGAATCACAGACAGAATTCCTCCAAACCATGAGCTAAATTGGTTGAACAGATAATTCTTAAGAACTTAAAATGAGTATATAAAAAAATGCTCAACATTTTTACTCATAGGAAAATGACGATCAGGACAAATCTGAGATTCCATCTTCCGGCAGTCAGAATGGCTACCATCAAGAATACCAAAAACAGTAAATGCTGGTGAGGGTGCAGAAAAATGGAACCCTTCAACACTGTTGGTGGGAATGTGAAGTGGTACAGCTAGTATGGGTATCAATAGAGAGTTTCCTCTCAAAATTAAAAAAAATAGAACTACCGTGTGACTCTGAGCAATTTCCTTGATAGTATTAGCACCATGTAATTACCTGCATTCAACTTTTGTCTTTTTCTCCCAACTAGAAAATTCTGTGAAAGTAGAGGTATTGGCTAATTTTTCACAACTGCCTTTGCAGAACCTAGAATAGACTTGGCACAGTGTAAATGCTGAATAAATAAGCCCTGAGTAGATGGCCACCATCTCCCCTTACCACTCTGAACTCTGGATGCATGTTTAAGAGGGGCTCTTGCTAACTGGAGTGCTCCTGAAACTGATGAGTCTCCATTCTTAGTAATAAACTGAAGTGGAAACTTTCAGCTCAGTTTAGTATAACAACCAGGGTCCTTAGCTGATGGTACCAAATCTTCTGTAGCTAGTGTAAGCAGAGGGGTAGACTAGGTGCAGTTATGTGGCCTACAGAAACTGTGGAAGAGTTAAATGGCAGCACTTCCGGGAGTAACTTGCAGAAACCTATTGTTAGGCAGTGATGCTCAAGGAGGTGCTGCTAGGGCTGAGAGTCTGACCAGATATAAAACTGAAACGGTCTCCTGCTTCTCTGACCTCAGAAACACTCAGACTCTGCAGACACAGGAAAATCCAAGCTCAGACAACAGATTTACAACTCAGAGACCTGCAAAATGTTCCTGGTCGGCAGAACCCGAGTCCCATACGTGTGCCAAGTGGCTTTTATGTTAGCAAATGGATCAATATGCTGGAACGGAGCGGCGTGCTCAAGGTGCACTTGAGAGGTTTGGGCCACCGCACGCTCCTGACCTTCACCGCAGCTGGAGATGCTCTCTCCAAATAGGTTTTGTTTATGCCACCAAGAATTACTTCTACATAAATTGTGGATTTCATGTTTCTGATCAACACATACAAAGAAAAGCAAATATAAAGGATCACAAGGAAGCTGGAGAGCAGGGAAAGTATTGATGCCACAGTCGGTTATTTAAATATTTATTTAAATTTCACAAAGTACCTGCTGTCTGATAATTATTATTAGTTCTGAAGTAGAAACGTACATGATTAGAGGTGATCTTACTTTTTGGAACCAACATAGCATAGCGTATAATTTGACTCTTAAGTAGCTATTCTAACTTAAGATGTTCATTAGTAGAAGATTTCCTAAGTTAAAAAAAATTCTTCTTTTACTTTGTTGACTCTCTTTTTAAATAGTATTTCTGTCTCTATTTTATAAAGCTCAGGCAAAGGCATCTTTTAATATACACAGTGAAGTGATTTCTACAGGTAAGCAGTTTCACATATCCATTATCTACAGTTATCTTGTTTTTCTTGGCTTTTCTAAGAGGGCTGGAAATCTACTCTCTTAGAAAATTTCCAGTATACCACACAGTATTTATAACTGTGGTTTTTCTGCTACACTTTAGATGCCTCTGCATATTTTCTTGCATAATGGTAAATTTGTACCCCTTGGCCCATCTCTCTGCAGCTCCTCCTCCCCTGCCTCTGGTGACCACTGCTACATTGATTCTCTGTGCTTCTTTGTCGGACTCTACACATGAGAGGTGCGGTACGTTTTCTTTTAGTACCTGAGTGACTTCATTCAAGACGACGACCTTCAGATTTACCCATGTGCTTGCAAACGGCAGCACTCTTCCCTGTCTTGCCATCCCCGAGGTGGGATCTTCCCGTATGTGCAGTGCTCCCCACAGAACAGCTCCTCATCATTTGATTTCTGCTTGAGCATCACTTTTCAAAAGGACCTGTATAATTTCCTTCTGCACAGAGTACCTTAGCCTTGCTTTATGTCCAAGGCCTTGTCTTATTAAGTTATCACAGAATGGAGCTTCTTTGTTGTTCTCCCTTTAATTTTGTGATCCTATAAAACCAGTGCAGGTAGGACTATATTTTGATGTTTTTGTTTTATTAACTAGAGCATCTCCACATAAAAGCATAGAACTTGAAACAAAATATGTGTTTGTATGAGTCACTTTTCTGTCAATGGTACAAAATACAATTTTCTGTCTTAGTCCTTCTGCCACTGGGACAAAATACCTGACACACATAATTTAAAGGAGGAGATATTTATTTTGGCTCGCAGCTTCGGTCCATAGTTGTCCAGCACCATGAAACAGACATCATTGCAAAAAGGTGTAGCAGAGGAAAACTGCTCCATGCTAGAAGCAGAGAGACTGAGATAAAAGAGCTGGAAAGCTAGAGTCCCTAATTCCTGCCCCTATGCCTGACCCAAACACACCATCAGTGTGCTTTCCTAACCTCCTAGGTGTCTCTCAAGGCAATCAAATTGAAAATCAAGATTAACCACAATGCTATTGAATGAAAAAATTAACAAATAGATAAATAACTCTGTACTACATCTAAATAAATCTTTTAAACATATATTGAACCTCACAGTAAGAGGCAGAAAATTGATTATTAGGTAACAGGAAAAATAATTTATTTGGGAAAGATGGGGAAATCTGATGAATTATCCTTATTGAAGTCAAATAACTGGGCAATTTTATTTCTGATTGTCAAATGTCTCATAATGTTTCTGAAATGATTTTTTCTCTTGTTACATTTTCCTGATCCTAGTTGTATGATAGATCTAATCGGTATCATTACACATTGTTGTTCTTTTAAAATTTGTGGAAAACCTTAGTGAATTTAATTAAGCAGAATCAATCTTGGATAGGTTCCAGTTGCAGGATGCTATGATTAATGTCATTACAATGTATAAATTCTTCAGTGATCTTTGTCCCTATAAATTGGAAGATGATGTCCTCTTAGAAACTAATATTTGAGAAGATGCTTATGAAGCCAGAAGAATAATCTAAAAGGGCACAAGAATGCCTCCTCCAAAGCTCAAGGAAAAATTTTTTTGGCTGTATCAAAATAAGAAAGGAGATAGGCTGTATGTTATCTCTATATGCTATTTGTATACAAATGTCTGTATGCTAGCTCTTTATTGAGGCTACTAGGAAAGAACTTAGAAAACTTTCCTTGTTAGAAAGGTTAGTTGCTAACTTATTCTGTAGAAATAGGAATTGTTTGCATCTTTGATAAATTATCCTAATGTGGACATTTTATTTCTTTGGTTTGCATCATGGAACTCCTTTGAAACAGACACACAGTCAAAGTCATTATTTTCAGTAATATTGAGAAGACTGGAGGAAATGAATAGACATCACTGGATGATTTCAAATATATCCTCAAGGAGTGATACAGCCTTTACCCGTGTGTGTGCAAACGAGATAGGAGCGGGATTTCCAGCTGTGTGTGAGTGAGGTAAAATAGTCTTCTGTCAAAACTGTAAGTAGGCTTTCATGCTTGGCAGCAAATACTGGGCTTTGCTTTGTGTGAGTTTTTTATTACATGGGAAACTATATCAATATAATTTATAAGAATTAAAATATTGAGAAAATTGGTGGGGAGAAAGTTGATGGTCAGGTTGTATATGATAACTTTCATGAATGCATTTTTAAAAAATATAAATATTACCTCTATAACCTTGCTGTGTTTGTGAAGAGTTTTATCTCCAGTGGAAAAGGAGAAGACTCCTGGTCTAGGGCAAATTCCTCAGTCAGCACTGAGATTTCTGTGCTCTGATGCCAGACCCCTAGTGCAGACCCTGAGCCTGTGAGAGTTATAATCACTTGCTGTTTCAATAATTAAATAAATGGATGAGCACAGCATGCATCTCTGTGTAGTGTTTGGCAGCGATGTAGAGATTGAGATATCTGCTTATGGTCTATGTTACAAGCATCTATAAAAGAAAAATGGAACTAAGGAGATTGAAATGCATTTTGGATATTGGAAGAGTGGCAAAAGTCTTCAGTACATGCACATGAAGAATTGCAAGAGATGGATTTTGGGCAGAATTACCTGGATTCCAGTTTTGTAGAGTCTTGTAGGCCAAGCAGAAAGGATGAATTTTGTTGAACATGGGATAAGAACCTCCTGAATCTCCCTTCCTGTAGGAAGCAAGGGAGTAAAATGATTGAATAAGATTCAAAAGGGACATTTTTGTTGCTTCAGAAAAATATTTGGAAGCCAAAATGTGAATGCATAGATCTGGCAGGAGACCTGCAGCAGGCCAGGGATGTAACGGAGTAGTGAGAATGATCAAATTTGTAGTATATTATTAACAGTGAGGCAACAGGGCTGATTAAGTACTTTGAAGCTAACAGTTTGTAATACAACAACCATTGTTAATTCCTATCATCTTCTTTTGGAATTGTGTACCATCTTGTTTTGTGTTGTTTTGTTTTTGTCTTTGTTTTTTGTTGTTTTGTTTTTATTCTTTTCTCTTTAAAAAAGTGGAATATCTAAATAAAGAAACCAACAAAGAGGTGTCAATGACTTGGAAGGATTCTGAGACTGGGATAACTGTTCACAAATTGGGTCACATGAAATAGCTATGGATTTACTGCGTTTCTCCTCTTCTGCTCAAATTTATGTTAAGGCCCTAATTTGCACTACTTTAGCATGGGAGCTTATTTGAAGTGAGGGTCTCTGCAGAGGTAATCAAGTTAAAGGTTATGAGGGTGGACCCATTCCAATATGACAGGTATGACTAATGTCCAGGTTGGAAGGGGACATTTGGACATGCGTGCCTGCCACTAGCTGTTCATCAACAAACCAAGTAGATAGTCCTGGCTAACTCCTACCCTCATAGTCTTCTGAAGGAATCTGCACTGTTCCTACCTTGAGTTTGTATTTCTGAGACATTAGATTTCTATTGTTTAAACCACCCAGTTTGTGCAGCAGGTCTAAGAAAAGAATGTAGCTTTTGTTCCTGGAAAGGGGATGTTGCTGCAGTAAGTATCTAAAATTGTAGACGAAGTTCTGAGATTGAATAATGTGTCAGTGCAGGAAAGGTTTAGGGATGCCTGGTCAAAAGAGCTTAAACTGCTTTGAAGAAAGACACTTTTGATAGAAATATGGATGTTGACAGGTAATTTAGCTTAGGACTCAGAAAAGCAAGATGAAAGTGGTAGCAAAGGCAACTATTGCCTTTGAGAATACTCATGAACAGAATGTTGCTAAAATATGAATGTTAATGGTTCTGTGGCTGTGGTCCCAAAATAAGAGTGTGGAACACGTTACTGGACAATGGAAGAAAGACAATAACCATTTTAGAGAAGAAGCATTAGCAAGTAATATAATGGGTTTTGTTCT